ATGTGTGTAATTCATGGAAAAGCCTGGATTTGTCCATGTAGGCATGGTGGCTTCTTTCCTGGGTGGGTTAGTTTTGCATTGTTACAAGCGCTGTGTTCCAAGAGATGTTAGAACCATGGCTTGTAGTAACTAATGAAATGCTGCTGCGTTCACCCCAAGGTAGTAAATGCCTCCCCTCTAGCAGGCCTTTAAAACCAGACTGTGAGTAAGTTTCAAATAGAGGTTAGTGCAGTGGTGGCTCCCGTTGCAGCTTCAAAGGAAGCTTTATTGCATTTCAGCTAGCTGCTGCCTGCAAAGCACGACACTGCCGGGTTCAAGCTGCTGCGTGGCATGTGCAGGACAGGCGCCACAGGGATCCCTGTGATCCCTGATGTGCCCATGTGCCAAGGCCACACGGGATTAGATCGTAATGGGACTGTAAAGCCCAGTTTAGAGCCCCTGGGCACACTGCTTACCGGAGGAGCAAGCGAGACCGAGCTCTGGCGTTCCGCGCTGTGTAGAGCGTCCAGCCCCCGCGCCACGAGCAGCTGCAGCAGCGGCTCCTGAAAACACACAAAACAGCACAAAAATAGCCTCTGTGGCAGGCGCCAGGCTGGCTGGGCTGCAGCCCTGCCCGGCGCTGGCTCCTYGTGCACTGCGAGCAGCCTCGCAGGGAGCGGGTGGCCCCGCGGCCGCGGCGCGTCCCGCACCTGAGTCACTGCTGCCCYGGTGCTCGCGCGGAGCACGCTCGCTGTGCGCCACCGCAGCAGGGATTTCCACAGGGAAACGCAGCAGCCAGGCCATGGCTGCAGGAATGCGCTCTGCTCTCTGCAGGAAAGCTTGGTCCCTGCAAGAGCAGGCTGGCTAATGCGAGTGAGTGGTCTTTGCAGTGACTTCTGGTGGCACAGAGCAGCCTGCAGGACAGGAAATTGTAGGAAACCGGGGCCACAAAAGGACCTGCTGGATTCAGCTCCATTTTCTGGAATTCCCTCAGCATCTTGCTGTGCTCGATGATAAGGAGCGGCGCTTTCTAGCAGGCTGCCTCGAGGCTTAAACCAATCTCTTCGGTCTTTGCTGCAGTTTTTGGCGCTGACCGTCCAGGCTCAGCTGATGTTTCTCAAGCAGACGTCGYGGAGCCGTCGCACTGCATGCTCTGCTGTGTCTTTCTAAGAACAAGCAGGCCCGGCTCTGACAGTCTCTGTAATTCTGCTCTGTCTGATTTCTGCTGGTCTTGAGTAGTATTTTTTGTGGGCTCATTCATGCATAGATCAGTGCTGCAGCCTGCGTGGTGACCTCTTTGCTGATGTGCAGGAAGTTGCAAAATTCATGAAAAGCCCTGAACAGATGGGTTGAAAGAAAGGAAATGAATCTCGTTTTAGAGGCTTCTAGGTTAAAGTGCTAGGGAAAAAACAACAACAACAAACAGCAGAACAGTCAGTTTTGACTGAAGGCTTGTAGTCAGTTGATAACTAAAACTAAACTAACTGGCTACAAATCCATCAAGTTTGAGATTTCATAGCAGTCTAGTACAGTACCAAAGAAACATAACTGATTTTTTTTGAGTTTTAATTATTAAAAGACCTAGTTTAATTCAAACCTGCATTCACGGGTAACATTGAAGAAACTGGATACAAACCTCAGGCAAAATTCAAAGCAAAAAAGGTTAACTGAGAGGAACGCGCCCACATCTACCATCAGATACCCCTATTCTTCAAGGATTGGTACTCTGAAACTCTCCTACCTTCCCTTACATTTCAGTTCTGCTGAAGTTAACAAGCCTGTTTGTTTCGAGGAGCCCTATTATAAAAATAGGCCCCATCACTGCCAGCACTGCGTTTGCACAAAGGAGAACACAAAGCTATTACCTACAGCTAACAATAACCTCAGTTATAAATGTCTTCATGGGGGGAATTACAGCTTCTCCTCAGGAGACTTTCGACAGCTTCAATATATCAGAATGTCTTGGATTTTTTTTTTTTACATTTTCCCCATCCTAACCTCAGCCCAATCTAAGACTAACAACTTCCTCTCTGCTGCACCTCTTCGCCGGACCCTTCTGTGCTGCGAGATCTCTGCTCTCCTCTTACACAAGCTCCTTGGTTGCTTTCTTTCAGGTGTGATTCTGAGCTACAATGAATCAATAGATAGGTCTTTATTTTTTCCTTATATATCTTTATGGATCCTTTTATACTCTTTAGCTGTGGCTGTTGTTGTGTTCTTGTCTCCAATTTGTTTCTTTTGGTTAATAAGTGAAAATATGTTTATTGAAACCAGTTCAATATAGGAAAGTGTTTTCTGGGATTGAGCAGTCAGGACACTAAAAGCACTCAAAATAGCCCCCAAGTATTCAGCTGATGAAAACCAATTCTGTCAGAATTTCTATCAGTTCCTCAAAAATTAACAAAGAGTGAGAGGCCTTTTCTAGGCTGAGATATTTGTGATTTGAGATCATCAACCGCAAGTTGTTGCATGGAAAATGAGAAAATAAATACTTATTGTTAATTTCTTGCTATAAGAGACTATATATCTTTTGCATAGCCATGACGGATATTTTTTTCAAACTACCGCTTTCTTATCTTTTCATAGTATATCATATTTAATATCATGCATATGAAGTTAAATACCATTATGAAAATATGAATATTACAATCAATATTTTGATTTTATTTGAATATTGATATTGAAACAAGCAATAAGCATTAACACATTTGTAGTGCTCATTTAAATTTACAGCTTATTTTCTCTGCACAGTTGTTTTAGAACCAGACTCTGTTTTACCCAGTAATCTTCATCCTTCCGTTTTTCTTTTTCACAGGGAAATCAGCCTGTAATGTCACCAATTCTGAAAGAAAGGAGCCAGCAGAGCTGCCTAATGAGGAGAATATGTCTTTAACTGCCCCGGAAAATAGAGATGAGAAGAGCGCGGAGGAGCCGGGCCCGCTGCCCGCACCGGACCGCTCCGCAGCAGGCAGTAAGCAGGGGAGCAGGGAGCTCGTGCGCGGCCCCGGGCGTCTCGCCGGGCACCGCTTCCACATCCCACCCTTAGAGGTGGGACAAGGGAGCCCCGAGCTCCTAAATAGTCAGCGGGCCATGGTCTCACCCTGGCTAAGGTGCCTTTCCAATGCTGTTCAGGCTAACACCCTTTCCAATGCTGTTCAGGCTAACAGCCTTTCCAGTGCTGTTCTGGCTAACAGCCTTTCCAGTGCTGTTCTGGCTAGCAGCCTTTCCAGTGATGTTCTGGCTAACAC